AATTCTGTGAGATGAAATAACAAGACTTGACTATTTTTCCAGAAGCTCAAAGATGCTCTGCTGTTCAATCCTTATGCTCTGTGAGTAGAACAGCCCCTCCTGGCTTTAAGAATTTCTCTCATGACACAGAAGGGGTGAACTATCCACTTACAAAATAAGCAGAAATCTCTCTAATTCCAGAAGAAAGAACTGGCCTGAGTATTTTGCTCCCTGGCACGTAGCAGATGCATCACATTATGGCATCTCCCCTTTGGACACACAGGCAGACTTTCTAACTGATTTCTCAGTCCCTTGGCTTGTTAGGGGATGCAGTCTCTGAATCTAGTTGTAATCACTTCTGTTTGACTTTTCTTCCTTCATCACAGAAGAGAAAGAAATATCAATACCATATTTAACCTAACTCTCTGTTTCTCTTTAATCTTCATGCTCTTGCTGTTCGCGTGGAGCCCTCTCTTTATATTCTGTGAAAAGACAGTGCCATTTGTATGGAGGAAGTTAACAGAAGTCCCTAGGCTGAATATTGGTAGCTGAAATCTGGTACTAAAGCAGTTGCTTTTGCCTGTTCAGATCTGACGCAAGTGAAACCCATTTACCTGGAGACTGACTTTGTCCACCTTGGAGGGCTATTTCCTGGGGAAAATGATTCTCTGTGACCTTCCTCCTCTGGCAAAGACTCACCTTCTCTTTCATCCCATGGGCAATCTCTGATGTTAAGAAGACAAGGTTTTGTTTCAAATTTTAGATTTTGTTTCAAATTTTGGAGAATGTGAACTATTGGGGTTTGCTTTTCATGTATTACTGGACAGATTCTGTAATGCTAAGTAATTGAGAATTTAGTCTTTCTTTGATGTCTTCAAAACACTAATTTTAGAGTGCTGAAATCAATGGCTACGATACCTGCTCTTTAAAGACACATAGCTCTGGAGAAATATATCACTCCAATCCCCTACACATGAATTTATTTGTAAAGTCTTATTCCAGCTTCATGAATAAACCATGTCTGTCCCTCAGCTTCATGATCAAAATATGGTAAAAGACATGTAATTTAATATTGTGGAAACTGAACATGTCCTGGGGCAGAATAGAAATCAGAATTTCTGGATCTTTTGTATACCTGTGTGAATTGGAGAGAAATTGTAGTCAATCTGTGACTGTGCTTTCCTATGTGTAAAGCAGGGATATGAATATATTCCTGTCTTATGAGAGAGCTGTGAGTCTAAGTTAATTACAAAGTCTATGATGAACTTTAGAAATTCAACTGTGAGATAGTGTGTTAGCATGCAATATTAATGTTTTGTAGTCTCCCTAAACTATCTTTGTGGATATCTTTAGTAAGTGGGAGATAATGATATCAAAAGAGATCTTTTTTCATCTCAACCATTCTCTTTAGAACCCAAAGTGAAAGCTGTTTCCACCAACTGCCATCTCTGTAACCATCTGGAAAATCACATTTTCTGAAGCTTTCTTCTCTTTATCAGCTGTAACTAAAGCTATAAAATGGGAAGATGTCCCTGGTTTAATTAACACCCCTGTAGTTCAAAAGCTGATCTTAGTAATGAGAGGCAATTATAGCCTTTATTGAGGGACAGTCAGGTGGAACAAATCCAGCATCAATCTATTGGAGGCACTTCCCCTTCCAGGTAATTTGGAAAATGCTTTTTATAATGAACAGGCTACCTGGCCCAATGCAACAGGTGAATCTATTTATTTTGTAACATGAAAAGTAGTGTCTTCCTTTTTTAATTTATCTACTGCTTTTGTAAACTGTTTTTTTTCCCATCCATCTGCCAACAACTAGCAACTGAGCTAACGAAATGCTTGTTGCCTTTTGGAGGGTATTCTTACTGATTTTCTATTTTTCTTTCCATTTTCTATTTTTCTTTCCCTTGTCCAGTGTTGCTTTTCATTTTGAAGGTTGCTTGGTGTTCACATTTTTTTCTAGCAAAACTGCAGACTTACTTAATTGGAGGTGTGCCTCCATCTTGAAGACTACGTGAACTTCTGGTCTCTGCACCTCAGAAAAGATGTGGCAAAGCTAAAGAAGGTCTAGAGAAGGGAATTGAAATGATCAGGAGCATGAGATATCTGCTATATAGAAGAGGCTAAAAAGGCTGCAGCTTCAGTTTAGACAGGAGACGGCTGATGGCAGGGATAGAGCTGAGGTTTACAAACTCATGAAGCTGATGGATAAGGTGGATTCAGAACTTCAATACCAGAGCCAAGAGCCACTAGCTGAAATGAGGAGCTATGTTTAAAATCGTAAAACACATTTTTACACAGCAGGTAGTGAAATTCTGGAATCTGTTGCCATAGGAAATTATGGAGGTGGACAGTATCAACACGTACAGAAAAAGGAGCATAATGAGCATCAGTTCTATAACCAGATTCTGAAAGTCGTGGGCAAGGCTGGGACAGTTCGAGGGGAAAGATCTGCAGAGAGTGGCCATGCTCACCTAGTCTGCCTAATAGTATCTGAGATGCTGTCTGGCCTCCAGCTTCTGGTCTATAAGAATGTGGATGTGATCTATGTCCCGTGTATTATCTGTCAGATTATACACAGATATCAGATTGTCAGGGGTCTGAAATGATGCTTGGTGCCTCTGTCTGGGCAACCGCTCTGAACTTTCAGTATCTACTCTGAACTTTCAGTATCTACAATGCAGGCATCCACATTTGAGCTTAACACTGAAGGTAGAGCTCTGTAACACTGAAGGTAGAGCTCTGTGCATGATTCCAGAGCCAAGAGCCACTAGCTGAAATGAGGAGCTATGTTTAAAATCGTAAAACACATTTTTACACAGCAGGTAGTGAAATTCTGGAATCTGTTGCCATAGGAAATTATGGAGGTGGACAGTATCAACACGTACAGAAAAAGGAGCATAATGAGCATCAGTTCTATAACCAGATTCTGAAAGTCGTGGGCAAGGCTGGGACAGTTCGAGGGGAAAGATCTGCAGAGAGTGGCCATGCTCACCTAGTCTGCCTAATAGTATCTGAGATGCTGTCTGGCCTCCAGCTTCTGGTCTATAAGAATGTGGATGTGATCTATGTCCCGTGTATTATCTGTCAGATTATACACAGATATCAGATTGTCAGGGGTCTGAAATGATGCTTGGTGCCTCTGTCTGGGCAACCGCTCTGAACTTTCAGTATCTACTCTGAACTTTCAGTATCTACAATGCAGGCATCCACATTTGAGCTTAACACTGAAGGTAGAGCTCTGTAACACTGAAGGTAGAGCTCTGTGCATGATTAAGAGACCTGCATTTGGGTGTTTGTATATAGTTGTCTACTTATACAGTAGGTGTCTAAATTCTTTTGTACTCAGCAGAGGTCTAGTCCTTGTAATGGGGACCTAGTCGGTACATTCAATGGAGCAATCAGTATGGTCATTTCATCTTGCCATGAAGTAGACAGGTATGTGGATGGTCAGTTAAATAACTCTGTTGCCTGTTTTCAATCTCTGTTGACTATAATGGGAGCTTTGACATCTAGCATACGTATAGATACCTAAATAAAGGTATGTTAATCTTGAACTGAGTTCCGTCCCTACATTTCTGTTATAATCACTGTAGACGGATAGGTGTCTCCTGAGAGTAATTCATGGACCCGTTTTAGATCTCTAGGTGTTGATAACATGAACTGCTGATTTCTACTCTGACCTTAAAAGGAGTCTAGCTAGTGGTATATACATTGCCAACATAACGGCCAGGTGAGTCCCAGCCATCCTGTTTCAGGAACTTTGGTACGGTCACTTATCCTCTCAATAGCAAATGTAGATTTCTGGAGAGAGTCCAGCGGAGGGCTATGAAGATGATGAGGGGACTGGAGGATCCCTCCTGTGAAGAAAGGCTGCGAAAGCTGGGCCTGTTGAGCCTGGAGAAGAGAAGACTGAGAGGGGATCTCATCAACGTGTGCAAGTATCTGAAGGGAGGGTGTCAAGAGGATGGGGCCGGTCTCTTCTCTGTGGTGCCCAGTGACAGGACAAGAGGCAACGGGCACAAACTGAAATACAGGAAGTTCTATCTGAAGATGACGAAAAACTTTGCTGTGAGGGTGACAGAGCCCTGGCACAGGTTGCCCAGAGAGGTAGTGGAGTCTCCTTCCCTGGAGATATTCCAAACCCGCCTGGACGCAATCCTGTGCAGTGTGCCCTAGAGGACCCTGCTTGAGCAGGGAGGTTGGACTAGATGATCTCCAGAGGTCCCTTCCAACCTCAGCCATTCGGTGATTCTGTGATTTTGTGATTTCTAAAGCAATATAATGTGAAATAACAATTTTAGAAAAAGAAACTCTCACACTTGTGCTGTGATTTTTGAATGGAGGTTTAGCTATGACTTTATTTTCTGTAAACTATGCTGTGAAGCATGCTACATCCTTTGTCCTAGAGTAGTTCAGCATCCTGATACACTTACCTTTGCCAGCCTAGCTGTAAAAGCTGTAGAACTGTAAAAGGAGTTGGTGAGTTGTTCAGTCTTCAGTAATTAAAGAAGGCATTAAAGCCCTAAAAATCCCACAATATTCTAGCAGTGAGGGGCTTTCACAGGGTTTCTAGGAAAAAGGTTACTTCTATACGGAGAACAATTTGAAAAGGAGTTTCTTCAGTTGGCGGGTCTACGGGTTTCTTTGCTTGGTGGGTTATTGACTCCTCTCTGCCAGCAGATACAGAATTTGGATGGCATCAATGTGCTCTGATTTTGCCACAGCCAAGATCAGCTCTTTCTTGTTTAGGAGACTGCATAGTTACTTAAAATAGGATGCATTGCCTATTCTTTCATTTTTCTCACTCCTGTGTGTTTTATGTCTTATTTGCTTTTTCTGGATACAGGATGTGGGCATGGAGATAGGAAGATCCTCTGACTGTGGTGTTCTCAGAGCTGCTGCAGTTCTGGATTTACTGCAGTGTTTGAGTTACTGAGAGTCAAGTGGCCTGCATGAAAAGGGAGCTGTGGTAATCACCCACCTTGCTGACTGTCCTGTCTTTTCTTTCCCTCTCCCAGGTTATGGACATGCTGCCCCAGGGACTGACGCAGGGAAGGCCTTTTGCATGTTCTACGCAGTCCTGGGGATCCCACTGACACTCGTCATGTTCCAGAGCTTGGGCGAGCGCATGAACACCTTCGTCAAGTACCTCTTGAAACGCATCAAAAAGTGCTGTGGGATGAGGAGCACCGAGGTCTCCATGGAAAACATGGTCACTGTGGGTTTCTTCTCCTGCATGGGAACACTCTGCATTGGAGCAGCAGCCTTTTCCCAGTACGAGGAATGGAGCTTTTTCCATGCTTACTATTACTGCTTTATAACATTGACTACAATAGGGTTTGGAGACTATGTGGCCCTGCAGACCAAAGGGGCCCTTCAAAAGAAGCCTCTCTATGTGGCTTTTAGCTTTATGTACATTCTAGTAGGGTTGACAGTCATTGGGGCATTTCTAAATCTGGTTGTTCTCAGGTTCTTAACCATGAACAGCGAGGACGAGAGGCGGGATGCCGAGGAACGGGCATCCCTGGCAGGGAACCGCAACAGCATGATTATCCACATCCAAGAGGACTCTCAGCATGGTCGGCCACGGTACAAGGCCGAAGTAACAGACCTTCAGTCAGTTTGTTCCTGCATGTGTTACAGGTCCCACGAGTACACCAGCCGGGTGGTGTCCCACCAAAATTCGTTCAGCTCGAAGCTGAACCCCCAGTACTTTCACTCCATCTCTTACAAGATAGAGGAGATCTCGCCAAGCACATTAAAAAACAGCCTTTTCCCGTCTCCTGTCAGCTCCATCTCACCTGGGTTGCACAGCTTTACAGATAACCACAGGCTGATGAAAAGGCGAAAGTCCATTTAAAGTGATTTGTCTTCTTTTGCTTTCCTTGTTTTCCCCAGTTCTTCTTCGTTGTTTTGTTTCTGTTTTGTTCCTTGAATGAGACAGAGCGAGGCCAAAGGGAGTAGAGAAAGCCAGTCCTCCTCTGAGACTCAGCTCTTGAGCATGAAGCATGGATTATTACTGTTCCAGCAAAGTATGCCTTACATTACCCCCTCGGTGGATGTCAGAGGATTCAAGGTGACGTGAAGTGGGTACCAAATCCAAAGTTGCACACACAGCTGGGAGCCTTCATGTGCCACTGGCACTCCTGACCTAATAAACTATTTTCCTCACGAGCAGGTTGCTGCGTGCGTGTGTGCTTGCGTGTGTGTTGAGTGTGTGTGTGTGTGAGCATGTGCGCGTGCAATTCCACAACTAGTGCCATGTGACAGAAATTAAAGCATCAGGTATTTTTTTTTCCCCCTTGAAGCAATTGTGTTCCAGCCTGCTTTTAACTTTTAGATTGCTTCCAAAAAGAATGGGGAGGGAAGGGAGGCAATTTGTTTTGTTTTTTGCCAAGTCAAGCATGCGCCATACGCAGTCAATATACCAGGTGTATCATGATAAATTTTTTAATGCTAGATTTTAGATTATATTAACATTAAAAGGCAGGAAAAGATGGATCATTTCAGCTTGCCAGTTCAAAATTAAATAAAATAAAGCATGCACTTTGTAAAACTGGTATGCATAATAAAAACACAAGAAAAACTAGCAATGGAATTAATAATCAAAAGCCAATAATCCTATTGATTTAACTATATTTACTTTCACCATTTGCAACTGTTCCAACAATCTGCTGTGCAAGTGAAATTTTTACGATAAATTGGGAGAATTGTTGGAAGTAAAGAATGTCTATTTTGTTATTTTTTGTTTTATTTATAATTTTTTTATTATTATTAATTATTATTATTACTACTATTATTTTATTGTGCAGCAATTACCTGCATGAATAGGAATTATATTTTTTGGAATGCTTGGTTTAGGATGGGTATAAATAGGTGGCTGTATATTTTTTCTTATATAATAGTGACAGGGCATTCCTTGTTTTAAATAAAAAAATAAAGATGATTGTCTCTAAATGCTTTTGATTTGTAAATAATGGAAAGCCTTTGCTGGTCTCAGGAAGAATTCAAGGGACAGTATCTTGTGTTTGGCTCACTGGTAACTTGTGAGAGTAGATGTGATATTGCTTTTTTGCTTGGCAGAAAGGCAGAATGCATGTAGCAGTATTGGGCAAAAGCAGTTTTACTCCAGTGTTTAGAGGGTAACATTGGGAGTGGATTGCATTGGCAAGCTATAGTGAAGGATGTTAACACCACTTAGAAGAGTTATTCCTTGGAGATTGTCCATCGCTCGGTTGTTGATCTGGACCAAACAGATTTACAGAACCAAATTAGAGGCCTAATCCAGCTCCCATTGAAGACAATAAGAATTTGCAAAGATGACATGGGATTTAGTGCTTTGGGAGATTTATCTTTGATTTGACAGGGGCAGGACTGGGATTTTTGCAAACCTGCACCATTGTCTCTGAATTAATCCTAGCTTTCAAATTGCCTTCCATGTTAATTCGCTGTAAAAAAAAAACAACTTTTTTTTCGGCACTAATCACCTCCTGCTAATTCTACTATTTTGTGCTTTCAGTGTGAAAGCAATAATTGTCCATATTCTCTCTTAAATAGATGGTATGTTTTCATACAAACCTCAGCTCTGAGCTCTGTGTGCTGATGGATCTTGATATCCTTCCAAAGAGGCATCTGTAAAGAGCAGTAATAGGGAGAAATAAGGAATGTCCTCCCGTCTCTATTCTCTTCTCCCTGGCTTTAAATTATTAACTATATCAAACATGTTTGTTCTCCTAATTTCCATGTTTGTCTTTCAACAAGTTAATGAAAAACAAGTGTCCATAACTTTGACTTCCCTATGCAACTTCCTCTGGGAATTTAAATCGCTGTGGCATGAAAACCTCCATTAAGATTAGTGAAGAAACAACGCTAGGATTTTTAATGAAGATGAAAGAAAATGGACTTTTTCAGCCTAGCCTATGGGTATAACAATCTTCAGCGTAATATGCGAGAATGCTGGTTGCATTAATTATGTGTTGCTGGTGTCACATCCTAAGGCAGACGTTGATGTCAGAAGCATTGAAGCAGGCATACCTAGAAAAGCAATTTCAGGACGTTGTAAACCATCTCGGTGATAGCCACCTAGAAGGTGGTGTCCAGGAGGGTGACGCACGGGGCTCACGGTGCTGCTGAGGTTAACTTTCACAGCCTTTACTGATGGCATCCCAAAAATGCAACTAATTGTAGGTCTCCTTTCCTGGTAAGGAGATAAGAAAATGATACATATTCCTGGAATATACATGGCCATATCAGGTGTATCTACTGGGTCTATTTGGCACTGGAGGAAAACAGGAAAAGTTTGCATTTTTGCAGAACTCAGAAGTATGAACCTCTGTCTGTCCTGTAAAAGAGAATATTTGTCATGGAACTTTTAGCAGTCACAAAAATTTTAAACAGTTTTGTGAAAAACAAATTGCATTTAAAAAAATGTTGGTTAGCTTTTTCCTTTTTTCCTTTAAGAAAAGAGGAAAATTCTGTTCCATGTGAAAATAATATTTAAATAGTTTTGAACCTATATATGGTGTTGAACTCCAGAAGTTCAAAGTTGATACATATTCCAGCTGATTTGTTACAAAATTTTCCTTTGGGAACAACAAACAGAGAGTAAATTTTAATATAGGAGGTATTTAACCAGGGGAGCAACTTACCTAGCTTATCTAGGTATCTGTCAAATAAAGTCTTTGCATTAAAACCCAATAGCTGCCTAAAAATTTTACTTTAGCTTAGTCAAAGTTTATGGATGTGGTCAAAAAAAATCTATGCATGTCGGTATGAAGGAACCAGAGTAGATGCCCTTAGTGATACTTCTGAGTTTAAAAGCTATGAAAAGTGTGTATGTGGGAAAGTGCTTCGGTAAAATGTATCTGCATTCCTTAGAATTTTTAAATATTTTATTTATTTTTATTTTATACGTGAAGAACCTGTGATTCTGTCCAATTAGTTTTTTTGGTACATATGCGATTGTAAAGTGGCCAGACAAGTCCTTTGTGAGGCTTCATGCGTTCAGACTTTTGCATGAATTCTTTCAGGACTTTGCTTTGTGAGCAGCCACAATATAAGAACTCTCGTGTACAGATGAGTAAACCAGGCAAAATATGCTGAAAATGCCTTTCTTCTTCTTTTTTTATTTTTTATGCTTCTTACCTGATGCTATATAAATGAATGACTTGGGCTGTCTGGAGTTGGAACAGGCAGAATATTGTGAAAGAGAAGCTTTTGCCCTAAGATTAATCCCATCTTTTCAGTAAAACATGCAAAATCAGTTGATGAACGATGAGCTGATTTGTCTGCTGTATCTCTAGCTATTTGTTGCCCTACATAAACGCTGAGTTTCTTCCCACAACTCTGCTTTTCACAGAATAGTCTGTCTGCTACATTATTAGTTTTATTCCACGTAAGATGTTATTTCTCTTGAAACAGACTCTCTTGCTCTCTACTTGTTCTTTTGAAATTCAGCCAGAAGCAGGTACTATTGGTGTTGCTTACGACAAGACTTCCTAATGTCCAAAGCACCTGATGTGTTTCAATAGCACGCTGACTTTCGCAATCACTTTGTGATGCATTTTCATTCTCCAGAGTCTCGTTTCCCCTACTCTTCCCTATTATTAAGCATTAGAAATAATAATAATAAATCAGATTAGTCTATTTGTGTCACACTAATGTGCTCTTCATCAAAACAACACAAATTTAGCTCCCTGCTGTCGACTTTGATTATATAACAACGCTATTATCCTATCATATTTCATATTATCATCAAAGGAAAAAATCAGTTTGATCACTGAAGCACCAAAATAGCTTTGACTGAGCATGCTGTGATATGGAAAATGAAAGAGGAAACTTAATAGAACAATGCAAGCACAACTCTACGCTTAGTGCTGATTGCCATGTAAGGACGAACCTAACTGCTCTAGCTAGGGCTGCTTTGCCAGAAGTTTGCACATATATATGCTTTACAGGGTTGACTTTAATGAGACAGCTCTAGAAGGCATGTTTGGATGTTACTTCAAGGCTCCACAATTGCCTCTGGGTTGCTAATGAATGGGAAAGATGTACAGCCAACTTGAGCAATAGACTTTCTTCTGTTTAGACTCCTCTCTAACAGCTCATTAGAACAAAATCAGCAATATCAGAAAAGAGGGAAGTGACCAAGTTAATTTCCTGTGTTGTAGGTCCTCTCATTTGTTTCCTAGTGCTTTGACTGAAGGAATGCCTGGACAGTAATCAAGAGTATCGTGACTCAAACCCAAGCAAGGTAATTTCTTTTTCACTCTGACAGATTTGAAAGCCTTTGTTAGGAAAAAGGTATCGTTTGTTGCTAAAAGCTTAAAAAAGAGCAATGAATGGAACCAAGATGGAGAATGAAAATGTTCCAGAATGATCTGGTCCACGCAGACTGGAGGGCAGAGGCTTGGGTGGAAGTAGCCTTTACTGAAGTTTATACTCTCATTTAGCTTTTTTTTAATATTCCTGTTAATATTAGGATCTAATTAAGATAGTCATTGAAAATCTTTATGAGGAAGCTAGACCACGGAGATGTATTGGAGTGTGTCCCTTAAACTAATGTTACGGACTTTTTAATGCATATTTCAACAAGACACACTTATTAACTGGAATATTGTGCTAATTACAATGAAAGTCACACTATCACTACTTTTCCCAACTAAAGGTGTATAGTACTCACAGAACTGAAAAAGAAACATTGTCTATTTGACCAGCCTGCCTGTCATCTGACTTTAAGATCAAACTTTATTTTAGGAGCTTTAGCAAGATAAGTAATATGAAAAGGGTTAGCCATCGTAATGATACGCTGAGATTGAACCAAATAGAATAATGACATTGGATGAGGAAAAATTGATTACAGATGGAAGGTGCTCTGGGACTTTTATGCTAGTTAATCTGAACTCAGAGACTGAATTAAAGCCATGAAAACTGATGGTACCCATTGCCAAAATGCAGTTTGCAGTTATTTAGGATGTAGATAACGAACACAGCAGAGGGATTTTCACCTGAAGAAGTAGTAGCAAGGCAAAAAGAAAGACAGAAAGAATGAAATCCTGCTCAACAGCTGGAGTAGTTATGTTATTTCCAACTGAAACCACAATGAGATAGTTCTGAAAAAGACTTGTGTTTTGATCCAGATAGAATTAGTCTGGGAGATATCCTTTGCTCAGACATGGTCTATGCTTATCCTTGTTCACCTGATCAGAAATTAACTTGCAGACGCTTCCTGCTCACCATACCCACTTTCCAGCCCACCTCTGAGTGTGTCAGGAACAGGTGAGCCGATAGGACAGGAAGGGGTTAAAGGCGATGAAATGGGGCTCCATAGGGAAGTGTGGAGTCCTGCAGACCCCCTGGGTTGCATGTTTTAAAGGCCCTGGCCTGCTGTGCATTGCTCAGCCCTTCACTCACAACATTGCACTGGTTACTGCTGATACAGAAATGCGTGGAGTTCCTGATCATCCAGGCAGATTTTTTGCTGCTCCCTTCATGGAAACTAAGACTTAATTCAGCCAGCCCATCCTGAGCAGTGCTGATCGCAGTGATACATTATGCTAGGGACGTTATTTCCTTTAGTGGTGGTCCTAAGTAAAAGGGCTCAGTAGCGTGTAAGGAAACTCTTAAGTACTTAGCTAGTCTAGAGCCTGGAGTGCCAGGATCTTCCTCTGAAGTCAATGGAAGCTTTACTGGAGCTAACTTTGTCCAGACCGGTCCTAAGTCTTTCATTTCCTTGGAAATTGTTTGGTGATTGTTCCTATTTTTAATTTTCTGCGAAGAAGCTTCTCCAAAATGCCTGATTGATTCTCAGTCAGTGTTGTGGTATCCTTTGCACAAATTTCCAAGTCATGTACATGTACACCAGTATTCCTCTAGGGAAAACTCCAGCATAAAGCTTCAAATAAAAGAGCTTCTAGCATTTGTGGCCCCTTTACACTGGGTGCTGCATTCAGTTCACAGAAGTCACTTTCTGTGTGCACTGGAGAAAGCAGGCACAGAGGTGCATGATGGTTGGGTGTGCACATACCCTAGGTGGATGTTGCAGCTGGTAAGCCGGACCTTGCTATAGTATTCTCTGAAACCAGTGACTTTATACTACTGTGAGTGGATAAGCTAAGGAGAAATGTAGGGCACTAAAATAACAAAAAGTTAGTACTGTAGGGCTAATTTTTGTTTGTGCAGTTTTCTGTTTTTTATCTGATTTTGGTGCGATGCAATGAGTCCCAATTTATATCCGTCTTACGGAAACTGGAGTGTGGACCTGTATTTATTTACTATACAGTAAATACATATATATATACAATTAGATATTATAATGTTACCTCCAGCTAGTGATTGCTGTGAACAAACTTTACTAAATATAACAGTGGATCAGAAAAACCTGAAGACAACAGTCAACCTGTATAACTCATGCTACTGTATTTTGCTTTATGGAATCCAGGCAACCAAAGCTACTCAGCTAATTTTAGGCTGGAAATATTATCCTTGGAGCCTTCAGCCTTCAGTTGTCTCTTCTTCTGTGAATATTGTAATTAACAAATGTCCCAGAGCCTTCCCCCAAACTTGCTTCCTGGCCATGTAAGGAATGCTGCCATATATCAACACCCACAACAGATCAGGGAAAAAAAAAAGGGAAAGGGAAAGGAAAGGAAAGATTAATGCTGCAATTTTGTTGGTAATTAATATTCACAGTTCCAAGCTGTGTCATCTTTGGTTCACTTTGAGAAATGCAGAGCAAACAGCAGCGTGATAAAATTTATCATAGGTGGCTAATTCACAAATGGAGCTAGCAAATATAATAATTGAAACTATGCTCTGTAATGCATCTCCGTCATGCGCGAGTTCTGATACCACTAGCCTGGCTTTGATTCACTGTTTATCTGGTCTGTGGAACAGCTTGCAGTAATTGCTCTATCCAGAGCACTATACTGGAGGCTAGAAGAAAGATCCGTTTCACAGACAGTGGCCCTCCGGCTTTCTCCATACACTCTCCCCATTTCCTGCCCTGACATTAACTCGTTAGCCATTTCGTAGACGTATGTTCAAGTCCGAGATCACCACATTCTGTACTTTCCCCCATCATGTTTTAATGAAAAGCCTTATATTAAAGAACTGCACCCTGGGGAAGAAAATGTTCCACTCTAATTACTACTGCCAAAAGAAATCTACAGATTGATTAAAAACAATACTTGGGGAATCAAACAGGAAATGTAAAGTGCACAAACCTGCACATGTGAGATCCATTTCTACCTTAGCCAAGATGCAATGTTTCAGCCCAGGAGGAGAATTTGGAATTATGCTTCCTTGGGAGAAGTCCTAGGCACCAGCAGAAATGGCAGCACAAAGCGAATGAGCAAACAAAGCAACATAATGGTTTACTCATTCTCTGTAGATCATTGGCAAAGTTTGTGGTGTGATTTCAAATTGAAGGAAGAGCTGTGGGTCTTCCTGGTTTAGTCTATCTGCTAATTCTCTGCCATCTTCCTCCCACAGCAGAAGCAACAGGAGGTGCAAGAAGGATGGAGCATGGCTGGTTCATGGTGGGGTGGATTGTTGGTGCAACCACATTTCCAGTCTTGAGGGAAAGCAGGAAACAGGGAAAAATGTCTCTTCTAGAGGTCTTTTCGCTCTTCTTGTCCTGGTAGAGGTCAGTTACGCCATCTCTCCTAGCTCCTGCTGCAAACCCACAGTCTAACCACTGTGGCTCTGAGAGACCTGGACCATGGTATCCTTACTCAGCTTGATGGTACCTCCAAAGAGTTGTGCTGTAGAAATGTGTGGGAAATGCTGAGCTGCTCCAGCTGGGTGTAGGAGGTCACAATATGGCAAAGAAACATCTTTGTACTAACAGTGTTTGGACAGTTCCTACATGTAGACCAATAATCAAAATTGAGCTTTAGAGAAATAAGAATAATTTGTTATTGTTGGCTCTCCCTGCAATACTGGTATGCATCTCCTTTATTAAAATTATTGTTAACAGACTGATTAATCTGATAAGAGTATTTTATTAGATTAGCTGAAGTAGAGTGTGTAAAAGCTTTTGGCCTTCTCAGAGGCTGAAGTCTGAAACGTATACAATGATTTCCAAAGGGCCTGCTTGGTGATACTCCTGCTGACAGGAGGGGTCATGTCACAGCTGTACTAATGACAAGCATCATCTTGGCAAGTTGAGTGGCTCTCATAATGGGAATTTCTGAGGAAAGGAGTTGAGGCAAGGTCCAATAAAAGGAGTAAGGACCTTAGTTTCCACTGAATTAAGTAGGTGCTTAAATGTCTTTGTGGAGGTAGGCTTTGGACCTGATTTTGTGTTACTTGTTACTTGAAAGAACTAGTACTGTATCATAGATAGACGATATGATCCAGATGGTACTGAGCAAGAGGCTCAATGAGGAAGGTGCAGCCACCTTTCTCTGTCACAGCCTGAATTGCTGAGGGAGCACATGCTATTGATATACCCTTCTCCCAAACCCTGTCGGAGCCAGGTTAAAAAAGGCAGACCAAAAAGGTGAATTTCTGCTTTGCCTCTGAGTGAGGGTAGCGAAGGGCAGGGGTAGTTTCTGACACTTGCCTTTGGACTGCGTGCTGGGCAAGAGCTTGGCACCGCACTCTTGTTAGGGACCAAGGCTGGAGTCAGGAGTCATCTGCATTTCTTTCATAAGATATGAGTAACATCACTTTCGCTCTTCACTCTTCACGGGTGTGTTGCAAAAGATTTACTAGAAAGTGTCTGTCCAGGACCATGAAACTAGTGTGTAGTGAGTTTTACTTGTACGTGTTCAATTTAGAAAAATGAGTTGCAAGATTCTGTAGGAAAAAAAGGAAAAAAAAAAGACAACTGTCAGGCATTCTTTACTTCAAAAAAGAAGAGGAGCCAGATTGGTTGGCACCTTTCTTTTATTTTTGGTTTTATTATTTTTCCATTTGAGCTTGGATTTCAATAACTCAGGGGAGTCCTTGGAATAGGTATAATGTGACTGCTCTGGAGGCATTGCCTTTGCTGGGAAGAACCAAAACCAAATCTACTCAAGTCACTAAGAAGCCAGACTTTCTCTTCCATATTGACAGACAGCTCCATATCCATTGCTTATGTTTCCTTTAAACAACTTAATGTGTTTCCCTGATGTGAATGAATCAGTTTCTCATTCAGCATGCAGCAGTGGAGCAGATTCTCATATCCTCTTTGTGCAAGTCATCCAGATGGATCTGTGGGACAGCTCACAGCTATTCATTTTGCTCATAGCTACCAGAATGCGGCCCAGTTCTTCTGTCTGCCTTGGGAAGTTGTCATTTTGCCCAAAGATTGGCCAGGCATACACACAGAAGTGAAGACATAGTACCTCTGTGAGTTCCTTTTTCGAGGGCATAGTTAGTCTTTTTGTTTTTTTATCTTTACTCATTTAATTTTCTTCAACATCTAAGCCCCAGTCGCTTCACAATGACATGTCTTTCCACCTCAGAGGACTTCTCTTGTCTTGTAGAATTCCTCCCTGTCACACGCATTTTTACAGCAAAGATCGATATCAACGTTGTTCCTTTTTAGCATATCCTTTCAATTTCCAGCGTGAAGAAATACAGCAGTCAGAGGTAACAATAGGAAATTTCACTTCATCCTTGATACCATGCCCATTGTATTCTCCTGGGAAGACTGGTACCGCAAAATCTCGGTGTTTGCCACCAAGAATTTGCTGGTGTTCTCAACATAACTTAGTGTTTTCTTCATGACAGCTTTTCTTCTTTTTTGACTGCTCAGCTGCATTTATATTATGGCAAAGACTTTCTGTATACGTTGTTAATGCAGGAATATTATTCATTTACTGGTGGAACAGCAGGCTATCTACACAACAAGAGAGGGACCCAAGTGTCCACGTTACAAAGATTTCTGATGCTCCATGACTCTAGCAGTTGACTTCATTGTTAAGTCATTTCCTGGGTACCACTCTGGGGACCTCTTTTTTAGATTTTAAGATTAGCTAATTTGGTTAACCCACCTGAAGTTAGTTTGGGTGTATGAGTACCGTTGGATTTAACCCTGCATGAAAAGAGACTAGTACATGCTACAGAAAAAAATCTATCTACTACAATTTTTTAACAATTAAATAATAAGCAGAAATGATGAGAGATTGATTCATTCTTTAGAAAGCAAGTCTAATCTGTATTTCTTCTTCAGAATGTAAATTTCCTATAATATACTATACAACCAGTAATCCAGCTGTTCCTTTTTTGCAAGGTCGGGAGTGAAATATGGAAAAAAATTTTTTTCGTTTTCCTCTTTCCTTGGCTTGTTAAGATTTGTGTGGCTGTTTGTTACCATTGAGGAATATTGACTAAAAATGTTGATGCTAGTGATATAACAGCACAGGAATTATTTGGAGCTGGATAGGTCAATGGGGAATGGGAGGGGGGCTTAAAAGTTGTTTCCAGTAGGCCAAAAGAATGTGGATACTGTCTCTTCAAGGTGCAATTTCTTACTTCAACAAACTGTTCATCTATGAGAAACAGGGATAAAAGTGTTCAATTTGGGACCTAAGGAGTTTATATGGAAATTCTTGAATTTCTTCCAAACACACATACATGTTGAAATTAAATTGTGATTCCTACTTTGGAGACTGAGCCTTCCTGCTCAGGTAGATAGAAGCGTGCGTGTATGTGTGTGTTTGTGAGTGTGTGTTGATGCTATGTCTCTTTTGGATCTCTTGACACTTTTTGGTGCATTTTTGTACTTCTTTGAATGTGCATAAGAGGACTTACCGATGGTATATCGACGGCATTCTAAAGGCCCTCAACAGCTTGAGATAGAGCAAAACTCTCTAAATTTCTGCCCTGGTTGATACATTTTCTGTGCAGCACACAGGGAATTAGGAGTATGGTCATCTAGAAAGAGGAGCAGGCTAGCTGCTTGGCCATGGACTGCACAGAGAATTTACCTCCTGGAGGCTGTTTTCTTTGCTCATTTCAGACCATTTAACTTCAACACGGTTGTTGAGCTGGTCCTAGCAATGGAGAAAGAGCAGGTCATAAGCATCAAGATGCAATTTGTTAAACCAGAGATAACTTGATTACAGAGAACCAAATTAAAGACTGCTTTGTGTTTTTTTTTTTTCTTTTTCTGGCCTTCTCCATAGCTGGAGAGGTTGCCTTCACGCATGGCCTTAGAATGCCGTACTGGAGTTAGAATGCAACAACAGTCAGATGAAAATAAGATGTATTGCAGCTTACATAAAGAATGAAAACTGTATCACACAAATGTTTACAAGTCCAAGTAGACAGCGAACCCCTGTACAATATGTAATTTATGCAAGGGATTGCATCTTTCTTTTGTAATGAATGCACTAAGCAACCCTGTATATATTTTACAATGTCTTTACAGAGAAAAAAAAGAATCATTTACTGTAGTGTTGTAAAATAATGCACTTTTCTAATTTTTTCATTAAAAATCCTATGGCACGTTTTCAAATGTATATTGTTTCTTTTCTATTGAATATGGAAATGTTACCTTCTTGTAAAATTGCACTACAGAAGTAACATCCACCGACGGAGTCTATTTTGTTAAAGAAAAGTCCCTTGGCAACTGACAGATGTTTATGATTATACAATATGTATGCGTGTGGGTATATGTGTATATAATGCATATATATTATGTGTATATATACACACACACACACACACACACACACATACATATCCCTAGTACTATGTGTATATATATATATAAAATTACATAGGTTCAGATTTATATACAATTGTATTGATATGATATCTATAGATTAATAGATATGTATATATATTCATACATACACACAACAATCACAATGTACAAAACCAGAAAGACTTACTCATTAAATTTAAGGCGGGGAAAGAGAGATGTCATATACAGAAGATATTTTGCATTGCAATAAAAGCTTTTTTGACAAAAGTATGTGCTGAGTGAAATATGAACCTTCATCAAATACCCAACTATGCCATGCCCAAAAGATTACAGCGCAGAATAAGCAGAAGGAAAGTGCTTAGGGAATGCATTAGAGCAGAGCAATGTATGATCGATTGGCATTAGCTGTTCAGACAACACCCACCTCACCATCAACAGGATCAACAATTTAATTATTTTTGGAGTGGTGTTTGCCTTCTCACCATTGTGGAACTGAAGGGCAAGGTGTTAGGATACAAAAGTCAACAGCATAACTTCTCCTGACTCGGGGAGAACAGAATTTCACACACAAAATTATTCATCTAGTGCATCCTAGCCGTAAAGGGGAGGTGGATCTTTGTGCCAATTTTAGGTGGCCTCTGTTGCTATGGGGCACAAGCAACAGTGATTCCTCATTTAGGATGGAGCATTGGGCAATTTTTACTGTTGTTCCCTTTCAGGAAAGTCTCAAGTGATATCAGGTATGGAACAATTGTCCATATGATATGATTTCTGCACACTGCTACTTACGGAAGAATTCTAAAAGCTTCCCAATTTAATATTTGATGTTCCATAAAGATCTTGTCTCTTTCTTTTGATGATGATGATGATGCTGTGGTCAGAAACTGATCCTGGATGTGTAGCGACAGAGAATGTGGATTTTTGTATTTCACTCCATCAGTATTGATGAAAGAGAGAGAAATGTCCACATGAAAAGTGAGAATAATTAACCATTAGAATAAGTAACTGGCTGCAGTGAATTTGGAATGACTTGCGGTGATTAGACGGAGACCAACTACCAAGTGCTGTGTCTCTCAGGAAAAAACTATTGCCTTGATGCAGAAATTACTTGGTAGAGTTCACCAGTCTGTATTATACAGCAGGTGAAACTGGATTATCATGATAACCTTCATCTGCTCTTGCTGTGTATGTGGCTCACTTAAAAAATGAACAAACTGGCCTGATATGTCCTGTGCAGTGAGACACAGCCAGTGTTACATGCACACTATATTTGGTTACGGGCCTGCATTAAAGCAAACAAACAAAATGTTTGTAAATGCTTCATTTTCTGATGGTGAAGACAGGAGTTCTCATGGAACAGAAAAGAGAACAACAGCTTCAACAATAGAGATAAATACACCCGAGCAATCTCACATACGTTTTCTGTGCTGCATCGGATAACATCTCTGTTAGCAATTAGGATCAACAATTTCATTATTTTTGGAGTGGTCTTTGCCAGCATATTTTATCATCTCAATTTATCCAGCATGTACCGACAAGCCAAAGAGTCGTTGAACCCTGTCCTCCCCTTTTGCAAGCAAAAAAGCCTTTTAGAGTAATTAATTGAGCAATCAATAATATAGACTAGAAGACCACAATTTAAAGGGATCCAGGTAGTGCAGAGGCATACCCAGGCGAATTTGAAGAGAGCTCATGTGCTGAACTTTTCATAACAACCCTAGGAAAGTGAGATATCAGGAAAAAAATCTTGGAGAAAAAAACCCTGATTTTTCATATATAGGCATATAAATGATCTTTATAAATCTGGACCAGAGTCATGGATGTTTGATCGCTCAGGACTTGGCTGCTAACATGTGCCTGGGTCTTGTCTGTGAATGTCTAAGAGGAGGAAAGAAATTAAACATCCTGCAGGAAAATGCAAGAGCCTGCTCAGTGCGCATCAACTGTTTGGTTGACAGCAAACAAAATATTTCAGTAGCTGAAAATGGGCTTGTGTCTATAATCATGCTGTGACCAAATCACTGCATCTTTCTCACCTAGGGCAATGTCTTCAGTTCTGTTTGCCCCTTTGCAAAAGCAGTGACTTTTGAAAGGAACAAATGAGGGAATTGTGCTGGAAGTGTTCCAAATAACGAGCAGTATAGAAGAGGTAAATAAGCTCTTCCCTGTTGTGCTTTCTCACTCTCCCAGGACAAAGCAATA